AAAAAAAAAGAAAGAAACAAAAAAATACACCTTATAGCTTGAATTTCGAGAACAAAAAATAACCTATAAATTAATGGAGAGAGTAAATTAAAAAACAAAATTGGTTAATTATATTTGTATTTTGTTGATTGACAAGTAGTTTTAAATAACTATTTATGTTTATCCTAAAAATAATACAATTGCTTTTGTATGAGGTTAAAATCAGATATCTTAATTTATCTTAGCTTAACTCTTTTTTAAATACGTAACTATTTGACTTTAAATCAAAATTAATATTAATATATTTATCTTTATTTGATTTTTGACAAATGAACATTATGAACCACCATAAATTTTTCATAAACAGCCTACAAGCACTTTTAAAAAAATTTACACATGTTTATTCCTATTTTATTGATTGATTTGTCATATAAATCGAAAAGACGAGTAATTCAAATCAAACATAAAGTTAATTTAAGCGATGAGTCTATTTGGCACCCAGAGACTCTAAATTCTGAATCCGCCTCTGCTCTCTCTCCACCCCTGCTGCTAACATTAAGCTACATCCGAAAATGTATATGCTACCACATAACCACAAATATCGTCCGCAAAAAGTGGAATTAATAAACCGGAAAATAAGACAGGTTACCTAAAATGTTTTTTTTTATTGTTTTTTTATGAACAACTACTATTTACATGTAGATATACAACTCTTTCTAGCTATAAACAGAAACAGAACATTTTTTGTGACGTAAAAGAGTCAAAATCTATCCCCAAGAACCTTTTTTACCTATCATACATACTAATTTATACACCTGTAGTACCTCTACCTATCAGCCTCCCCACAACAAGAGAAATGGACAGCTAATTTCATTACAAAGTCAATAATTTGATCTATAACTTGTCCTACACATGTCTTTATCAAATCAAGATTTTGTGATCAACTTTTTTTGACTTGTGCATTCTAATTTTTGTACTAACTTCAGCTACTTACATATCAAAATCTTTCTTGTTCCAAATTCCAACTTGCATTCTGATGCCAATGAAACTATCAAATTCCTCTGTACAAGATGATTCAAATACCTCAGGGACTTGATCAAGTGAGCGATCCACTGTGTCCGAGGACTCTCCCTTGTCTCGGTTAGTCTTACCACGAACTGCCTCAGTTATTCCATCTTGGAAGACCGAGATCTATCGAAAAGATTCATACAAGTCAAAACTATTCAGAAGTTGAATTTACTAGGTCAAAGTTGTAGTCTAAATGGGACAGAGTTTCACCTGTGCATGTGACAAATAACTAATGCAAGTTGAAAGCATTAAAGAACCAAGACTATCATAGACAATTGGTGCTTCTGAATCAGTCTGTAGGCAAACATAGTACACACTAAATAACCAATGCAAACATAACATAAAAAATAAAAAGTATTTGAATCTTGCTACTTCAAATGAGGATTTATTTTTCTTGTACCTTTAGGTCTGAGTCACAACTACCAATCGCATCTGCAATGACAGTTTTTGATCTGTCAATCTCAATTGGGAGTTTGGAGTTTGGTCGTCTAACTCCAATACTTATGGTTTTCCTCAGTACTTCCTTTCCATTAAGGTCAAACAGTGAAATATCAGTATGGAACTGAGAAACCTGCAATACATATTATAGTCAATAGAAATGACAAAATGAGTTATTCAGCAGTTTGTGGAAAGGGAAACTGTAGTTAGTTAGCTCGCATAAAATGAATGTGCATACCTCTCCACTTTCATCATAGTCCATGTAGAATCGATTGACATGAATATCAGTACTTAAAGCATCATCAGAAGGAGACGATAGAACTCCTGATGGTGCAAGTACATCCTCCATAACAGAATTTAAACTCCGTGGAACAGTCACAACCTCTCCTAAACTACCTGCTGCATCGAGAGTTCCTCCTGACATTACAAGCAGCAGCGCCAAATGTACTCCAATTGAAGCAATTCGATCAGCCAACCCCTTAAGTGCATGTAGAGTTGGACCTTTTACGAATACCTAAAGATGCAGAGGTTGCTGAAATGTTAATATAATCCAATTTTTTCTATATTGTTTAACAAGTAACTTTTCGAGAAAAAAGTTAGGGAAGTGCTTTAGCAGCCTTGTTGATAATTCTCGATTAATGCACTCTAGCATCTGTTCTACGAGTAGAGCAATAAATATCTTGATTCACTAATTCCATTATGTATACTCTGCCATTTCAGTTATTACACTAAGGACTTGGATAAATGATAGACTAATCAGTAGAACACATTGTTATGTATATACCTCATATCCAGCCCCTATTGGTGTGACACCCGAGTCGTTAACCGATTCTCTAGGCAGTGTATCTGCATCATCTTGCTTATGAATTGCCTCAGCTGAATTCAAGAAAAACTGCCTGCAGATATAATCAGTAAGTTTTAATTTTAATCTCCTTCAGAGACCTTAGGAAAAAAATTCATTCGAACTGGAAATCAAAAGCAGACCTTCTTGCTACCTTCACAAGTGGAGCTTGTGTTGTGTATGTGCAAGCCATCAATGATGCACCTAACAGAGACAGTGTCCCAAGGAAAATAGGCAACGAGAACATGTGATCAAGGCAGAGGGTGATCCATTTCGAAGAGAAAAAGCCAAAGAGAGGATGATCTTCAGGAAAATTCTGAAAGACAAATTCTGGAACATCGCCTTGGCCAATTAAAGAACTTCCTGCAGGTAAGGAAAAAACGGTAAATAGAAAGAAATTCAGTTATCACAGAATATTCAAATAGAGAGGCACACATTATAATACAGAAATTGAAAAAAGAAAGAACAAGTGAAGAATTCAATACTTGAGTGCTATCAACTAGTATATAAACAACAACATATCCAGTGCAGTCTCACAAAGTGTGTGGTCTAGGAGCCGGGAGGGTAGAGTGTACGCAGACATTATCCCTACCTCAGAGGTAGAGAGGTTGTTTCCAATAGACCCGACTCAAGGAAAAAACAACCCAAAGCAAGAAGGTATAAAAACAAGGTTTCCTATTAGTTTAAGTAGACAGGAAAACTGATCATCAAGGTGAATTCTAGTAAAAACAACAATGTTCAGTACATATATAGACATCAATATACTCGAGTCCTACTACCATAGAAATAATGCAGGCTCTATTTTCTGTTATCCTCTTTGATATCGATGGACAACTCCAATCACGTAATCCATAAAACGGATGCTCTGCAGTCTAGGACTGTTGTTTGAACTACTAATTCCCGAATAATGAATGACAAAAGATCAAAGGCCAAACCAATAACTCATTAATTGAATGTATCTTCTGTCTAGCTATCATGCATGTTCTGCAGCCTAGAACTGCAATTAGAATGGCTGCTGCCCAAATAGGAGTAATTATGGAAAGGAATAGCCCAAAGACAAAATTCTTAATAAAAATCATCCAAGCATAATAATGCAATCTCTGATCATAAGTATACAAACACACACGTATAATTGAACACGGAATAGACATTGAGGATTCATATAAAGAACACCAATAGTTTATGATTGACTCTGTAGGTGTACATATATTTTGCAAATGTTTCTACAAGAAAAGTGTGAATTACATGGGATTTTTCTGGGGATTAGTATGAAAATTTGCAGGAAAATAAGTTTCCTACGGATTTTCATACTAATCCTTAGGAAAATCCCCATGTAATTCACACTTTTATTTATACTCTGTATGTATACAAATATGTGCAATATACGAGGCATAAGGATTGGCTTATTCATAGAGGAATTACTAATAGCTGTACCCGCCCAAGTCTTTCATATTTACATTAGCATGCAAGTAGAGGTAGATTCAAAATTTAAACTTGATCGTCTCAATCTTTATATTGTTACCATTCAACAATTGCACTTTACAAATTATGTGTTAAAATTTGATATTTTGTTGAAATTTTAGTTAGAGACTTTTTACAAACATACGCCAGCTTCAGCTTCATGTAAAAAAAAATATTGGACTCGTACGTTCTTAACTACATCCACTACTGGATGCATGAACGAAAAAAGAGCGCAAGTATTTGTCATTACCTAAGGCCAATAAGGCAGCAACAGCAAACGTCTCACCAATTGCCAAAGGCAAATCCAATAGTCCTCTCAATAATTCCCTTTTAAGCTTAATGCCATTATTGCTTGTGGTTGCTTCCTTCCTCTCCAAAAGCAGCGGCTCTACGCCAGAATCCGGCCAAGAAATTTTCTTTTTCTTGCTAATTTTCTTCCCTTTTGAAGTCTTGAACTTAGCAGTAAGAGTAAATGAAAAGGTACCTTTTTTGTTATAAACACCAAGAATTCTTGAATTTTGAGGAATCCATAAATGATTATGTAAATGGGGGGGCTTAATTGAAAATTTAAGAGTTTCCATTGATGTGGGAATTTTTAAAAGAGGATTTAATTAATTTGGTTTGGTTATGGAGTTGTAACGACTATTTTTGGTTAATTTATTTATCTACATATATAAGGGCCAGGGGTGCAAGAGAGGGTGTGTACTACAACTATTTATACTTAGTACTTCGTTAATATTGCTTAGTACTTACTCATACGAACTTTTACACAAATTGTACTACTTGGCCAACATTTTAAGCAAACAAAAGAAGGATCAGAGTAAATTAATGCATAATTATCCTCTTCATTTCTCTAAAGTGTCCAAGCTCAAAAATATTTGTCTCGTATGATATTAGTATTATTTATTGTTAGTAGTGTATTATATTTGAGATAAAAAAGGGTTTTACGTATATTTTTTGCAATTTACATTCTTAAAATCGCGAGTTAATAAAACTTCTTATACAATTATGGAGTATATAAATTTTATTATATTAAAGAAATTGAAGAATCAATATTTGATGATAAATTCACACTAAATTAAATTGAGATGATTTGATTCTCGTATATAAAACTGTCATTCTCCATAATCTAGAAGAAGGAAATTAATCGGAATCTGTACATATTTTGATGAACCCATTTTGCATTTTTTTTTCTAAAATTATTATGAATGATGGTTCTCTATATCACATACTAGTATTTATTTTTGGGGCAAACATACAAGTCTTTTTTAATCAGACACGCTGATTGATCAAAACTCTTGTCAACGTACTAGAAGTGTGATCTTGAAATTAAAGCGGATTGGACGTATAGTTATTGTTGGATCAAAGTATAGAGATCGTATTAGGATAGAAGGTTGGTAGATAATCGAGATTTGTCTAATTTTCTTATCAGTAGTACTATTGTTATTACTACTATCCTAGTATCTTATTCTTCAATTTTAATATTACATGTTTATTTTGCTTCAATTATCGTATTATTTGTTGTTGCTACTTGTTGATCTCTTCTTAATTGTTTTCAACATGATTTCTTCAATATTGTATTTGTTTTACATGCTTGATTTATGTTATGTTTTACTTGAGCCAGCTCGGAAATAACGTCTCTACCTTCACAAGATAAGGTTAAGGCTACGTACACACCCCCTTCGTAGATCACCCCATTTACAGGATTACACCGAATATGTTGAAAATTGAGAAATACGCGAAAATATGTAATGTACTAAATGATACTACAATGGTGCAAGCTAAGGCATATGGACAAAGACAACCATGCATGACGTGCTTCCATAAGCCTACAACTTGCATTATAATACACACTATCTCCATGACCATATGCATGTGTTTTAACCTAACCAATTCTACATTCCTTTCATGCTTCAACATAAGTCTCATTTCTTACGAAATCAAAACATTTTCAATCACTTCCCATTTCCCAATAAGGGGGAATTTACATTTGCCTCATCTCAAACTTGTTAGTTTAGGACAAATAACAATACGTACGCTTCATAAATAATTAGTTCCTTGAAATTAGGTACTAATATTGTTAAATTGCCATTTATGCAAAAGCAAGATTCCAACCTTGCCGTGAAAACAGCTAGAATAAGGATTTTATTTGTTCTTTACCTTTACGCACAAGGAATATATGCAATGCACTCTAACAATTCCCAAGTATTGCTTTACTTGTGGGATATCCTAACTTAGCTATTTTATCTTTAATTGGATATGTTTAATTATTTATAATAATTCTCATAAAAGAATAATACCATCGCTAATTAAACCAATTTGGATTGCCAATGTCAACATATATACGTACAAGTCTCTAATTAGACTGATCAAAGCTCAAAATTAGTATATATTGCTCGTACGGATCATTTGCTTCCGTTGTATTTTTATCATAGGTTAGTTAATTATTAGGCACATACATGGCAAGTCCGACCTAAAATTACATGGAAAGAAATCGTTTATATATTGTTTTACCAATATATATATAGCAGAACTTTACTTTTTCATTCTCATAAAATTAACACCATTTTCTTATAAAAAGGAAAGTGTACGTAAATAATACTCGTAGTACTTATTTGTTTGTCGTAGAATCCTAGAGAATTAATATTAAGTGTGTATTGTACAAACAAGATAATGGTGCAAGGTAGGGTACGATTCACATAAATCCAATAGTTATTATTATAGTACGGTAATATTAATTTGTTGTCACTATAAATCTTATAAACTTTAGATTCGCCGAGACAGCGATGGCGTGCTAGGATAAGCCTACAACTTGCATTATAATACACACGACATGTGCTATTTGTAAGACTTCCATTGGACTACACACTAACCAATTTCAACACTCACTCCTTTCAACAAAAGTCTCATTTCTTGCGTAATGAAACCATTTTCAACCACTTCCCAACAAGGTAACTTCATTTTGATTATTTACATTTGTATCATCTCACACTTTACAAAAGAAAAAAAAAGACACGCGTCTTGTTTAAACGTATGTTGCTTACTTTAATGCTAATTCCCATTTATGCAAAAGGTTGAAAATGGTTTGATTCCAACAAATTAGAAAGTGAACCACAAATTAAAACAGAAAAAATAAGGACTTTCTTTACCTTTACGTACAAGAATGAATATATGCAATGCACTCCAACAATTTTTCAAATATTGCTTTACTTAGCTTGTAGGATACCGATATATTAATAATATAATTATTGAAAATATTCATTTTCTGTAATTTCCCGATCAAACTAGAAGTTACCAAGAAATCATGAATAATACAATCGTTTTAAGAAAGAAAGTCGATTATATATAAGAGAGAAGTAGCAAACATACACAACTAATCAAAACCAGAAGCCCAACGTATGATTTACCGGAAGCATTTGCACAAATGGCCTTTCGTGAGGCCACAATTTAAATTGTCCCTTCTTAGTCCAGAGCGCTAAATTTGAATAATGAGGGACAGAATTTAAAGAGTGACATCAAGAAAGGCCATACGATGCAAATAATCCAAAGGATGGACCTATAACCCTTTTGGGCCAAACAAGAACTCATTTTGAACTTTCACCTGGGCTGCCGTTAGTCCAACTTGAATTACTCTACTTTGAATGAAATCCAAGCCCAAACATATTACCCACCAAAAACTTCATACACAATTGTATGGAGTCGATTGGTAGCTGGATAAGAAATAAGTTGTCCATGTATTAATTTCCGTATAACTAATACATGTATAGTTATGAGGAAATCTATGTATATTTGGATAATAGGTGGAATAACTAATACATACATAAAATAATACATAGATTTACTCATAACTAATCCATATATTACTAATATGTGCATAACTTTAACCAGCTACCAAACGACCCCTATGGGTTTATACAAATGGACGGAAGAGAAACTAGCATGAATGTGAATCAAGAATTCACTTAGGCCCAAACATCACCCTCTTGTTAATTGGTTACACAACAATTTGAAGGAAAAGCTCCACCATTTTTTTATTGGAGAGGGAAAACATGGTGTAGATCATACTAGTTCTAATTAATAACAGTAAATACATAAGCCTAACTCCTACCGACGTGCAAGAAAGTTGCACTGGTTTACTACACATATGCAGGTTTAGCACACTATAGGATATATTTATGAAATTAGGGAAACAATTAAGAGGAAACCGACGATCAAGAAAAGCACCTTCATAAAGAACTTTGTCCAATCTAGGTGGTTAGAGTGATGGAAACCATGAGCATAACCTCCGTGAAATGAACCAGAAAAGAGGTATGGAACTCCGCTAGTTGCCCCATAAACAGTAGCATCATGAAATCCATGTACATTATTTAGATTAAACAAAGCTGGAATAGCTCCAATAAGAGCAGATAATGTTGAGTTTTCAAACCTTGCACTCGGCATGGGCATGGACATGAGCCCCCCTATGGAATCAAATTCATCATGTCGGAGGTAGTCCAAATCTACAGCTGGAGCGGTTTGAGGTCTCTGCCCTACTGGACGTTTAGGAATATTGATTCCTGGTCTTAACCGAGATCTTGGGTCAGAACTTGCTTTGCCTCGTCCATATATTGGAACCAACTTGTGCTCTTCTATGAGAGCCTTACATATTGGACACTCGTGGGAATGTGAATGAACTTGTAACCATTCGTAAAGACATGGCCAACAATAAAGGTGTCCACAAAGAGTTACAATAGGATCTTGAGCTAATTCAAAGCAGATATTGCATTCAAAATCACCAGAGTCAGAATTCATATCTGCTGAATGCAAAGCATCCAATGATTCACCTGTCGTATAATCCATATCCACAAACCAAGAATCAAAAACCTGCCAGCAAATCATAACCAGAGGCCGGACTTTACTTAACCTAGTGAAATCATGGAATGAAATGACAAGAAAGAAACAGAGAACAAGGAGAGCAGAAAATGTTAACCAGGCATAGAGCAGAGAGAGATAACCATTATTTTTTAGTACATTTACAAGAACCACGAACAATAACTTAAATGGCCTTCCAGAGAAAAGAGAAATGAAAATCTATAAATAATAATAGTAGTATGTAACGCTCCTCTCCGAAGGCCTAAAAGTTTTTCTTTATCACAAGTTATAGACATTACAGCTTGGGGTATTGAAGAAGCTAACATGGACCAATTTCCACACTGTATTACTTTCCTAGGAGTAAACATCACATAGTGTAAATAACTTACTACCCTCCAGTTCAACTATCTTACTTCTGAACTTTCACATCACAGACTGATCAAGAACCAAGTCTGAAGGAAATGAAAATATTTTCTGCATAAATTTAAGTAAGAAATACTTCCTCCGTTTCAATTTGATTGTCTTACTTTCTTTTTTAGTCCGTGTCGAAAAGAATGTCTCTTTGCTTTTTTGGCAGCTCGTTAATTCTAACTTTCCACATGACATGTTTAAGACCACAAGATTCAAAAGTTTTATTTACTTTATTAAACTTCAAGTCAAGTCAACAAGAAACAGAAGGAGTAACTGCCAAAGAAACTCATTCCTGCATATAAGTGAAGGAGCTTTCTAGACATCAGTTTGTTAGTGAAGTCACAGTGGTAATTAGTTCAGTTTTAAGCTTTCTCTGTCATCAAGGGTGGTCACAATGGAAATAACCTCTCCCAAAAATGCAAAAACTGCACATAGCCTACAGGGTCTGTCCTCTATGAGTTTATTTTTACAATGAAGCATTGCTTATAAAAAAGAAAGGATTTTTCCATGAAGTAAAAACTCACACAGAGTCTCCAACTTCCACTATAATGATGACCATCTAACTTCCTTGATACTAATACCAATAAAAAGCAATGATATACGATAGCAACCTAAAATATGAAAAAAAATCAAAAGAAAATTAAATTCTAAGACTTTTTTGTGACCCTTAATTAAATCTCCCAAGAAACTACCAACAAGTTAAAATTAGAAATCTCTATTTAAGACAATATTCGAAAACAAGATCCCAGCATAATTGAACTTGAACCCACCAAAATATACTACTACAAGGATGTCAATTCAAACATTATTTACCCATAATTAATCTTCTCAAAAGTAACAATTTTTATTCAAGAAAACATTGTATCAAATTCTCTTACCTAAAAACTGGCAAAAAGAAGAAGAAAAACAGATCCAATCAAATACTGGACACAGTAAGCTAAAAAAGAAAGAAAGAGAGAGAATCCACCTGGAATCAGAAGAGGGAAAAGAAAATGGATGACAGACACTACATGAGATGAGATGAGATGAAAAGGGAAATTTGGTTAATACCATCAAGTGATTTTCTCAGCTCTATTGTCGGTAGCTGCCTAATTTTACTATACAGTCTGCTTAGCTAGTTTTGTTAATCGCTATGCTCTTTTTCAACTCAACTACGTGGAAGGTATTTTTGTGAACACTACTCGGAAATATCCTTTTTACCTTATCAAAATAAAAATAAGACTGATTTATTGTCCTAGAAGGTAAAATTATGCAAACAACAAATCTAACTATTATAAGTTCATAATTGATTTCAATATAATTTGTCAATCAAACATTCAATTATGAATTGTCTATTAGTGAATTGTACGCGATCTAAATTGTCAATAAATAAATTAAAGAGAAACAGTCAATTACGAACTGTCTATTAGTGAATTATAACAATTCGATAATTGTACAATATTGTCACGTAGAGAACTGTGGTAAGGTGGCCTAATTTTTATTTTTTTTGGTTAAAAGGTGATATTTATTTAATATTATGCACATAAAAAGTAGCACATGATTGGTTCGGCCTAGTACACCCAATAATATAAGGAATGGCTTTATATGCGTTACAAAAAAGTTCCTTTTCAAGCAAACATCGGAAGAGACAACAAAAAGATGCTCAATTTCCAGCTTTTTGATGCTTTAACAGAAAGGGGGGGAAAACAGCCTATACCATCCAAAATCATTTTTTATAAAACAATTTTTTTCTCCAATATTCTTAAATACAAAACATGAAGAGTAAACATCTGTTATTTCTCACTTACCTAAAAGTAACTACAGTCGAAATCCTAATGGCTTTCTTAATTAAATTAGGTTGAGGCTTTTTACGTGAAATTTTAGAATCCTTTATAAAGTCATGCAATTTTAGGCAACCATACCCACCTTGGCACAAATTAAATTTGACTTTCTAAAGAACTTAAACAGCATGTAGCATAGCAAGTTTTAACTTATTTTTTTATATAGTTTGGGAATCGAGAGGATATACCATTCTTGTCACTTAAGTGGTTTCTGTATTTCTTTAATTTTCAACACACTGCTTTAGATTTCATTGCCAATTTTGACTGCTTTAACAAGTTTAACTCCCTCTCTCATCACATTCATGTTTTTTTTTCTTTTCCCTTGCTATACTTGTTTCACCAAAGTTGTCGACCACAAAAATAACAAAACTGAAAAGATCTGGGTATCCAGAGAGAAGTCGTGAGATTGTTTCAAGTATAAAGGAACCCTCCTACAGCAACAAACATATGAAGGGACTATCCACATCTTTCTTGTTGGCCAAAGCTGTAAACAACTATAGCATAATTTACTCGCGTGCATCTTCACTCTGGCAAAAAAATGTCCTAAATTGCGACCAACCAGCTCAACTCTGCTTTGTGATGAGCTCAATGTCCGCTCCAACTTCAGCAATCTTTGTGTCTTTAGATGCCTTTGCCGCTTTTGCAATATTTGCAACATCAAAGTCCATTGCAATTCTTTTGACAACACCCTCAAGCATCTATTAATGAGAGATATTATGAATTAAATAACAGGCTTTGAGGCATATTTCCTACTTGGAATTCAAGAAAAGACCTACGAGAGTACCAAACATACCAGTGATCCTATGGCAACTAACGCCCGAAATTTTGCATCAGCTTCAACACTTCCCTCTTCTGCAATCTTCAGGTAGAAAAGATATTCCCACCAAAAGTGCATTAATATTTTGTTTCTCAGTAGACAGTGAAATGCACGGTAGCGGGGAGACAGAATTCCAAAGGGGAAGGGGAAGGGGAAGGGGAAGGCAGAAGCAATCACTAAATCGTAAAAACCTCAAGTGCAGCCGAAAGAACTTGAGACTGTCCCTCTTCATCCTTCTTTTCAATCAAGAGTACAGCATAGCTGCAAATTCAATAAATTACTGGGTTAGAACAAGAACACAAAAGAACTTGTGGAAGCTGGATAATATGAGAATAAGGGCAGTGCAGAAATAGATATATATAACCATCTGCAGAGTTTACTTCTGCTCCACTGCATATAAAGTCCAAAACATCATGTGACCCATTTCAAAACATTAGTTAGTAGTACACAAGTGAAATAGCTAAAAAGAAAAGGCAAAAGGATTAGATTATAATCAGTTCATCCCCCAGAAGCCTAAATGCAATACAAATTTTCCGTGCATGCTCTACCTAATAAAAGGATGAATCTATAAGGAGGCCATCCAGCATTTCACTATGACTACTGGTCTAGCGGCAAATCTGGAGAAATCAAATATTTTCATAGCTGGTGTTGAGGATGATACAAATAATAGCCTTTCGGATTTGACTGGTTTTTCCCTGGGATCTTTCCCAATAAGATACCTGGGCTTACCATTTTCTCCAAAGAAATGGAGTAAACTGGAGTGTCACCAACTACTGGAGAAGATCACTGCTGAAGATATGTTCAGACTCTGCTAGACATTTATCATATGTTAGAAGGCTACATGTTATCAACTCAGTCCTTTTTTCACTATACAACTTCTGGGGCCCAGTATTCATCTTACCCTAGAGTGTGTTAAAGGCAGTAGATCGGAAATGCAGGGAGTACCTATGGGGGTTGTGGGGGGTGGTCTCAACATCAGGGATTGTAAGTTACGGAACATTGCTTCTGTGGGTAAACTTGTGCGGCTGTTAAATGAGAAGAAAGATGTGCTTTGGGTTAAATGGGTGCATAGAGTAAATATGGAACATACTGTAGATTTTTGGATGCAGACCCCTTCAGGTGGATTGCAGTTGGTACAGGAAAACCTTGCACAAACTAAAAGGTGATATGGTGAACTGGTACATTGATAGTAAGTACTCCTTGGCTGCTAATGGCAAGTACTCAGTACTGAGTTACTTATCTTAGCTTGAAAGTAGGCCTGTTTGGAATCTAGCAAAGTGTATATGGGGTGCAGTGACAATTCCTACACACAGATTCATTCTCTGGTTGGAAGTGCAGGGAAGAGGCTTCTAACTAAAGATAAAACTGCTAAAGAATGGAACTCATTGAGAAACTGATACCTGCTGCTTATGTGACTGATACCATGGAATCTGCTCATCACCTGTTTGCTTGAAAGTGATTGGACTACTGCATTAAGGGACGACTCACTAGATGGTTTGGGTTGGCTCTACAACAGCATGATGTTGTAATATCTCAACTCAAACTAAAGAGCAAGCATTCAAGGAGAATGAAGAAAGATATTGTAGCTGCTGAACTGGGAGCTTTAGTCCATACTTGGATAGCTAGAAATTGGAAGATGTAATGGGACCACATACTGTGCAAAGGGATACTATCATACAACAAATACAACTAGAACTTAGAGAAAGAATTGACATGTACAGAACATCAAAAAGAACTAAGAAATGTGGGTTTTCATTGACAAAATATGTAACCGATTTGTTTTTTTGAGGCCTCACATGTGTGATAGCCTTCCTAGAAAGAAGTCAAGGAATGGGGTGTTATCTGTTTGTTTTTTGTCTAAGGTAATATTTCACAGTTATTACCAAAAAAAAAAGGGATGAATTTACAGAATAAGCTCCTTTTTCTCAGAGAAATTTTTACCTAATTAACTCTGACTACACTTCCATGGGGTCAAGCAGAAAAAAGAAGAAGCTGATCTTAATATATAAATGTAGACAACAAACAGAAACAGGGATGAGATAAATGCACAACAAAGTCGAAAGAACTAAATTCTATATTTCTGGGTAGCGTCTTGTTTGTGGGGGAAATTCTGAGATGGTTTGGAATTGAGTGGGTGATGCAAGGCACTGTGAAAGAACCAATGTTTAGCTGAACCTTTAGAAGAAGAAAGAGAAGACGCAGCAGCGCATGGAATGTTGCTCCATACTAATGTGGACCATATGGAGAGAGAGCGGAATACAAGAGCTTTTGATAGAGTTGAGAAAGATTTTGTTCACTTGAGAAATACTCTTTTTCCCTTATTTCCTTTTGGTGCACCCATGAGGTTCCTAGTTGAATCAAAGATTGGTATACTTTTTGTATACAGGAGCGCTTTTGCCCTTCTTTTAATGAATTAGTTTACTTTAACTATAAAAAAAAATAGAGAATTCTATAAGTTCACATTGAAGGGAGAGACTTGGATTTTTAAGTGTAAAACTAATCTAACACAATAAATACGCATGAATATCCTCAAGGATACAGAATATTTGTCATGGATGGTTATTAAAACTTGGACAGACATTATGGGAGGAACTACTGGTAAGTAAGAGAGGGAGTGGACTCAATATCAGAGAGCTGAAAACCCAAAACAAGAGTTTGATGATGAAATGGTTGTGGAAATTTGTCTCACCAGAAGTATCTCTATGGAAGGAAGTAATAATAGAAAAATATGGCATGGAGGATAAATGGATGACAGAGGTGATCACCAACCCTTACAATTGTAGTGTATGGAGGTCTATCAGGAACCTATGGCAGCTGGTCAAAGAGAGAACAAGCTGCAAGGTGGGCAATGGAGAAAAAGTAGCTTTTTGGAATGACATTTGGTGTGGACAGGAAGCACTCAAACATACTTTCCCTGTACTACATAGTCTGAGCCAAGGACAAGAAGCAACAGTGGCAGAGTTATGGACAGGACAAGGGTGGAACCTGTTTCTAAGAAGGGGACTAAATGATTGGGAGATGACAACCATAGCAAGATTTCATGATACAATGCAAATGGCTACCAATCTGACAGGAGAGGAAGATAGACTAGTATGGAAGGGGGAGAGAGGGGGAGAGTTCACTGTAAAATCAGCATACAGAGAACTCAGGTCTACGGAGGAGCAGCATGCAGGATGGCCCTGGAGGATGATCTGGAGAACAGAAATTCCCTACAAGGTGAATTACTTCACATGGCTCTTGGCAAAGCAGGCAGTCTTGACACATGAGAACTTAAACAAGAGGAAACCCAATCTACGCTCTAGTTGCTATCTATGTGAAGAACAGGTGGAGACAGTCAACCATCTCTTTTTACACTGCAAATGGACTGATCAATTGTGGCAGATGTTTATCCAAAAGAGGAAGATTAAGTGGACAAAGCCTGGGAGTATTATAGAAGTCCTACAATGCTGGAACAGGGATGGAAATGCAGGAAAAAATGAGAAGAGATGGAGGATTGTCCCAGCTTGCATTTGGTGGACAATTTGGAAGGAAAGGAATCAAAGATGCTTTGAAGGAAAACAGAACAATATCCAGAAGATAAAGACTAATTGCCTAGGGCTTTATTATTTTTGGTGTAAGCAAGTAGTGATAGGAGATGCTGAAAATGTGTTTATTATTGACTGGTTGTAACTAGAAGATCCTAGGAATGATGTAAGTAAAACTTTTTGGAGGGGGACTACACTTTGATGTAGTATACCTGTGGATATATAGAAGTAATGTTACCTTTCTCAAAAAAAAAAACTTGGACAGACATTTATTGAGCTACTTACTTGAGTATCAATGTTGAATAAGCCAACTGAACATTTTTATTGGAAGACAAGTAACAAGTGGAATAGGCATCCAGAACCTACAAGGACAGCAAAAGAAAACAAACACGCAAATCACTGTTATAACCTGTACAAGTCAAATAAAAGCTCCAAAATATTGGATAAAGCAAAAAATGGTATAGGAATATTATGTACATATTCAGAGCAAGAAAATAAGGAAGCTAACAATCAAGTTTTCAAGTTGAGCAGAAGAGATCTATACAGCCTGGGCACAAGAAATCCCAGAGGATCTACATCAAACAGGAAGCAATAAAGATTTTTTATTTTCGATTGGTGGGAAATAATCAAAAGACATCTATGCCAGTGTCCTCACAATCCAATGACCCCAAGCATTTACCAGCGACCATCACAGAAATACAAGGAAACACAAAGGAAATATTCTCAAAAATAATTAAATATCATATTTTTTTCTCAAAAATAATGAACTCTGAACAAATTTAACTTTCAACGAGAGAAATCCTATCAAGTATGGTCGCCGTAGAATTCAACATAGAAAAATCACTAACCTCCCCACGATGCTTTAACAGCCAATCATGATAGGATTCATTCTTAAAGAAGTTGGTCAAAGCATGAACACTTGTCAGAAGATTTGCAGGAAGTGGAGGACTGGTTGTAACCTTCTTGATCAACTCCATAAGCACATCTATGTAAAATTAGAAAACAAATCACTACGAAAGACACATTGTACTAAAATTGGTGATCACCACCATGGCCCATGCAAAATTAATTAGAAGATCTAGCATTTCAACTTGGCTAAATTAACAACGGAAACTCAAGATTCACCCCCTCCCACTTTGCATGTTAGGCAAGGGGCAGAAGACAGCATTCACCATTTATAACTCACTCACAGATACAGACTAATAACAAGCATGGTAAGTCATAAAGAGAGCAAATTCAGTACCATTCGCATTGTTGACATGCTTGGAAAGTACAGCAGCACCATCAGCGTGTAGTATGATCATCCTCAAAATATCGATTACTGCCAACAAAAATGAACAATAAGATTAGAAGACAACCTTGATTAAGAATAATCAAGTTAGGATTTGCATAATCGCAACCATGTTGAGTTCCTTCATAGTGAAGGACTAGCAATCTAGCATAGCATCAACCACTTCACAGGAACAAGTGAACAACTTTAATATCCTATGCATATATAGCAACTGAAAAATATTGAAACTTCCACAATCTCTTTTGAGTCTGCTTCTTGTCAACAACTTCCATTTCTATGATCAAAGATGGAAGAATTTACATGAAACAGTTCAAATAATCCATTATGTATTCAATAAAACTAAGTAAATTGTAGTTTTGTTTTCCACTTATTCTTGATTTATTCTCCCATCAAATACTTTTTCGTAAACACAAATTTTAGTAAATAAGAAACACTTTGAACACATAAGAAAATAAAATACAAGTAATCCTAACCCAAGGTAAAGCCTATGAACTAAACTAATCTTTTTACTCTGATAGAGATGAAATCTGATCATCTACTGTTTACAACTCCTTACAAGAAAAAAGAGAAAAAGAAACTGAAATATAAGAGTACAATTTTTACTTGTGTCATCTGACAACCACCTGAAATTGCTTAGTTTTGGCACCTACAACTCCTTACAGATGAACCATGCCAAAGAGAATGCTACGGGTTAGAAGGAATTGATTATCAATTTCAAGCCTGTTCTGTTGGAATCTTATACCTGGTGCTTTAATTTGAATTTCCTGGTTTAATAATATTCATAATGAAAAGTAGTGTTCAACTGATGAACATCATTTCCATAATTTAGACAAAACAGGATGTCCGTACAGGCAGCTAGTTTTTGGAACAAAGTTTTGGTTTTGTTGTGGGTTCATTATTCAATGCCTACACTTCAAATATTGCTAACAATTTAAATACTATATTTCAGAAGAAACGGTCACCTGGAAATAACATCGTCAGTGGCCAAGATTTTAGAACCTTCAGCACCATTACAACATCATCGTCTGAGAATTTACTGCTATGGTAGCGTGATGTGTCCTTCAAAACATGAATGATAGAAGCCAGTCTGGACATATCAGCTTCAGTCAATACCATATGTTTTTGCTCCTTCAGGATGATTTATTGAACAAACGTGAGTAATGAAAGAAGAAATAGAAAAATTGAACCTTCTCAAATCTCATATTCTGAACTTTATAGCAAAAAAAAGTATATTGGCATTTCGTATCATAAGGACTTCAAACACTGCTTAAGCAAATTAAAACTCGATCAATAAATAGCAAGAAGATGAGTAGTCATCTCAAAATGTTAGTTTTTTTATTGTTTTTATAATGTTTAGTTAAAATATTTATCACGGTGCAAAAATAGTTTCCTAACAGGATATAGAATTATAACATTTTGTGAATGGCAGGACAAGAAATAGTTTATACCGATTACAAACACAACTTACTGAGGCAGATAGTAAAGTATTATTGAACTCTGAAACTTTCTTGAGGATACCATCAAATTGTGCTGCATCAAAGACAAGCATTCCTTTCTGGAAAGAAAATGAAAGAAAAATCCTGGTATAAGTAAAACAAAACCAAAATATCTTTTGTGTTTTAAAGTAGCAAAGTGCTCTTTCATCAGTTCAATACTTCATACAAGCAAGCTCAATTTTTCATAGTTTTGCATGCACAATAATTGACTAAATGGTGTGGTTGGTCTCTTTTCTGAAATGTAATATTATAAATATAGTCAAACATATGACAGTTGCTTCATATTATTTTGACACTATTCATTTCTCCACACTTAACTTCAGAGAACCACAACAGGGGAAAATCCATTCCATATGTTTGTATCATTAAATTCATCCATATATAGCATACTGATAGTGTACAATAAGCTTTTTTGTAGTGTATAATAAGTTTACACCATCATAATCCATAATTACCTTTTATCATATACTAGAACAGCCTACAATCCTGACAAAAGACAAACTGAATTGTGCTACTGTGATCACTGAATACTACACCGAGTCAAATAAATCTATTAGCTATTTCCTATCATAAAAGATCTAGAACAACGTAAAGCTATGACTGCATAGAAGCCACAAGAGCTCACTGCTTTGAAGTGCCAAAAACAAATTGACACCCTTCTAATTGTCATATCTGAAAACCCTCTTGAAATATTAAACATTCCTTTCACAAAGATTAAGCAACTTGTATGTGCAGCACTAAAACCACATATACTAACTGTATCACACAGAACATACGAATTCTACATTGATCATCTTTACTATGCTTTGCTGCACTTGTGCCTACAGTTTTATAACTGGATGTACATGAACATTCAGTACAAGGAGACCATTTGACTGTCTGTAGAATGATTCTGGTCAACTCGTTTGGTTCCTCTATAGAAAGATTACCTTGGGGACATGCTTAAAAGTAGGTTTTGTTGCTGCAAGTAATAATGACAAAAGTAAGTTGATTTTATAAATAGCCAAAAAAGGCAAATTGGGAAACAAGTAAATTTTAAAATACTTCAAACTTACCAACTGGCTTTGAAGGTTGACCAGGTGTATAAGCGCTACCTGCAAGTAAGAGATAGGAACAAATATGAAACATGTTTTAGTACCACGAAAACAGTGGGACAAAGTGGAGGCAGCAGCAAAATCAAAATCAAAGTATTATTCCATAACCAAATAAATATTTCTTACTGCCAGTGTAGGGGTCATGGAATGATGGATCCGGAGTAAACTGTTTCTGACCAGTATTTTGAAGAATGAACTCCACAATTTGTTCACGGTAAGAAAGAGGCAGATTCTCTTTGAGTAGCCACTTGTCAGCAACGTCATATGGATTATCTGTCAATTACTCAAAAGAAGTTTTGGATGTCAGGTCACGAAGAGTTGTCTAAGAAACAGAGAACTTATACCCCTTCAATTTCTAAGAAATTAGATAGAGATTGATGACAGAAAAAGAACGCATAATCCTCAAAACATAAAAATCCATGCAGAAGTCATGCAGGACCAATTTTGAGAGAAGAAACACATACACTTTTAACTAACCTAAAAAGTAAAACAGAAAAAGGTTTATAAGGATGAAGAGAGGATAAAATACACACTTCATTTTGAGAGAAGAGACACATACACTTATAATTAATTTACTTAATCGTATCTTCAAAACAGCCCCTTAAGTACAAGCCTGACTCTTTTACATGAGCCGAGCACATGAAGAAACTTTTTTTATGATGGGAGGCAGTGAGACTCGAACCAGGACCTTGAGACTCGAACCAGGACCTTTGCTTACTCTGATACCATAATTAGGTGTGTGATCATCCTCATCTAAAAGCTAAATTACTAGAGAGAGTACAGTTCTGATTTATTTACTTAACAATGTCTTCAACAACACGGACACGTCTTTTCTGGGGAAAATTCCCAAATCTTTCAAACTTAATCTCCTCAGCTTGCTTCTAGAGTTTCATCTTCTATTCAAAATGTGGTTTAGTTAAATGCTATTTGTAAGTGATACAACCTACTTTTGAGTGTCAAATGGACAAGTTCACCTGAATTTGGGCGGGTGAAAATAGGCTAAATCAACGAAAAGGTTACACTTTGACTGGGATGAGATGAGTCAAAATGGGTTAAACAATGGGCCACAGAGCAACTCACCCAATTGTGACCAAATTTTAATTTCTTTTCTGATAATTTGATGAATTACAAAACAAAACTAATAAAACCTTTTGCTCAATATTATGGCTATATTTAACATATCAAACAATAAAATTGAAAAGCATATACTGACAAGTTTCTTTATTGGTTAATATGGGTAGAGCATATTTACCCCAAATCAATCCGACTTTTAGATAGGTCAACTTGGATTGTGGAAAATTGACCTGACATAATATCCCAATCTGCTTTGGGCAGGTCATATTTTCACGGGGTAATTTGTCCACCCCTAGACCTACTTAAAAACTCCAACCACAAACAGTTTAAGCATAAATTGTTTTTTTTAAGTTAGTCGTACTAAATTATATATAATAAACACCAAAAAAGATTTTTAAAAAATTGAATGAATAAACAAACAATAACAGAAGGTCCAAGAAGTCCTTGGCTTCTTGAATTCTCTCTTTTTCCTTCCAGGAATTAATATAATTAAAAATTCTGATGATTTTAATTCAATAGCCAAGAAAAACCTAAATTATGCCATTAATGGTTTCATGCCTAAATTATATCAAATAGGAAACTCACATAAATATAGATTTTTTATTTTGGTTCGTCATTAAGTAAATGGCATGCGTATAATGATCGGAAGGCAGTAGTGACAATCGCAAATACGTTCCCCAATTGGATAAAACATTTTCCAAACCTATCCACAGTTCCCAGGGTTATTCCAAGTGATGCAGAACATAGACAAACATAACCATGGATGCTAACTCTAGAAAAACTCAGAGGAAAATGTGGCCAAGTAATACAAGTTCACCATGCCATGCCAACAAAACCTGAGAGGAAGACCCCAATTCCAGATACTACAGAAACATCCCTCCTCAATAACTCAGAACAGAAAATTAAAATACCTGAGCGATTGCAGGGCAATTTGCGAACAGGTTCACCATCTCCAATATCAACATCGAACACTGTATCCAAAGAACAAGACAAACGGTGATTGGAAGTAAAAAGATGATATAAAAGACCAGTGTGAAGAGGGTAGAGCAGAATAAGCAGTGCTGACCATGATCATATTGGATTCCATCAAGAAGAGGGCGTGACATGCCATCATCGGGGCCGTCAACCACTTCACCAATCTAAATTGATAACAAAAAGCATAAGAACAACAGCATGCGTAATTGCTTATGACAAAGGCATCAAAAGTATGTAGACGGGCTAGTAACAGAAAAAGTCAGAAACTACTCAAGTGCAATTTTGACAACACAGAAGAACATAAATCCACAACAAATGCAGATCCTATAAAATGCAGACAGTGACATAAGCTAATACAAATTAGCTATAAGGATGTTTATGCATATTCAGACCAAAATTTTACCTATAGAGCACAAGAAACAATCAAATATACACTAGTAGAGGATCACACCTTCCCAACTCCCTGGGTATCCCCAGCAAGAAGGAAACACAACAAAGTAAAAAGCCCAAAAAGACCAGTAATGAAAATGACCAAAAAAATTTCATATAACCGCGGTGCCCAGGCACCTCAACTAATTTCACAGGGTACCTGCAAACCTCCCACCAGCAGCACGTACCAAGTAACTATATCCACCAAGGCTGGGACAGATGGGAAGAAATCAACAACTAGTGTTGGGATTTGAACTTGAGACCTCATGGTTCTCAACCCACGTCATTGATTACTAGACCACACCCTTGGGTGCTGACCAAATATATGGAGAATATATCATTGAAAGCAAAATACAAACATAAACATTATTATTACTTTATCCCACTTTTGCTCCATCATATTCCATGCATACGCCACTCCATTGTCTCCTTCACGGACAACTTTGGTCTGTCCATCACTAGTACCTGCTCAACACATCAAAATAAAAGTGTTACAGTGAGGAGAGAACTTCAATCCAGCTTTCACTTCCAATCATAAAGGTTTCAGGCAGTGTCAGATATTCGATTTTTCCTATTACCCTTAGGTTCTTTTGAGCAGGTTCTTAGTTTTGAATATTGAAATAGAAGAAAAAACAGTCACATAAGCAACTACTAGTTCTTTTCCATTTCTACTTTTGATGGGTCACTTACCCAACTTCTACTCGAATTCCACACTTCTTTTTAATTGGTCCAACAGATGATTGAAACCATTGATACTTAGGACAACAGCAATAGGCACTATCATATTCACCTGGGGTTTGTAAGGCCTCAAGCCCAGGAAGCTCTTCCAATTTCAACCCTCCAACTCTTTTCCTAAGATAAAATGAAATATAACTTGAATTAGACCACCTATATATAATTTGGTATCCAAAAAGCAATGCATTTGTGAGCATCTTTTAATTCAACAGCTGCATGTAAGAGATAATGAACAGCAAGAAAAACGTTTAGTTTTGACAAACTCCATGCACAAACTAAACCAGGAATTTAGAATTTTCTAAGAAAGCAAGCACCTTTAGAACCCAAAAAAAGGCAAAGGTGAAAACAAAAACATAAAGATAACATGAAAATTGTAGACTTGTGACAAAGTGATTATCATTAACAAGCGCAGCATGCCAAAGTATTTCATCTTACACTATGAATCGCACAAAAGCTTTACGCCAGCCGAAAGGGATACAGTAAGGACTAATCCGAATCCCAAAGATATGGCGGGAAAGACAAATTAGAAGAGTCTGGATGCCAAACCTACAGTAAGGACTAATCCGAATCCCAAAAAAATGGCAAGAAAGACAAATTAGAAGAGTCTGGATGCCAAACCTACTGAGCGTGTACTGTGAGAGTTGGGCAGCATATGACTCTAGTTCTAGCGGGTCAGCAATCTTATCCTGATGGACAGTCCAAATGCGCACCACACCATCAGAGCATGCGGTCACAATGTCGCCGTTGTCTAAGAACTTGGCATCCCAAACACAGCCGGGATGCTCTAGGCTTTGGACACAGACTCCATCTACAACACAGTGATTTCACGCCCACCATTAGAGGGAGACAATCAGATAAGAAATATCACAATGTAAAAAATCAAGGAAATAGAGGACATTTACAAATCGCAGTTAGGATACAGCAGTGACTACTAGGACTTAGGTATTTGAAAGACAGTTTTTCCTAAACTCCTTTAATGCAACTGTCCTTTGCCAAAGGAACCACATTAAAATAAAAGGGGGGCATGTGGGGTCACAGTAGCTACCAGCAAGCATTCACCATCCAGTACATTAGTGTTTTTTCATTATACAGGAAATTACACAATAAAGGGTGTGGTGGTCATGATACATTTCCCCCCTTTATATATGAATAACAGAATGAGAAGAGAGCTTCCAATTGTCCCATCAGTAATTTAATGACCTTTGAAATGCTATTATGTAATAATCAGTGCCTAATTGAGGAGACCAATGCCAGTTTTAGAAGAGCAAAGAAGAAGAAAGAACAAATACAGCAAAGTCAGAGGCTAAACTCCAAAGAGCTTCACTTGAATAAGCAACAACCAAAATAGTTGCATGCACTATTCCAATCTTCACAATTTACAATAAATGGTTTTTATCAGCCATCATATTTCTGAAACAAAACTTTACTGGTTAAATAGACAGAGCTGCATATATTTGATCTTAGCCAAAAGGCTGAGATAGGTATGGCAAGAGCTGCATATACAGAAACATCATTGTGAAAAAATGTACACAACTACAATGGATGAATTACAATATTACCTTTCCAGATCTTCACAAAACGATCCTCACTGCCACTGACAATAAGCCCAGAGGCATGAGCATCAACAGAATAGACAATAGAAGTGTGACCAACCATCTCCAGTAAAACTTGACCACTAAGTTCCCACAGCCTTATGGTACTGTCAAAATGAGATATGCACAGATTAGAAATAACAATTTGTTAGGAAGGAAAAGGACCAAAAAAACTTATTGGGAGATTAAACTAGGGCTCTGTGAGATAACCGAATAACTTCAGAATCTTAACCATGCACCTAATAAACTGGTGGTATGAACTATGAACCCTACAGATGAGAATAGTAGAAGGAAAAGCACAAAAAGTAGAGAACCTACAGAAAGAATTGATTCTTTACGAATCACACCCAGACATCTATGCTAAGTCAAGTGCTAAGGGGGATCTCATGAGTGCTAAGTCAAGTGCTAAGGGGAATCTCATGAGTGCAATAATAGTTTATCAAAAAACAACATTCGTGATCTCAGTTGTACAAAGTCACTTTTTAACCCTTCAAACAGTCTCCAATTCCTCTCCATCAATCACCAACATAACTGCCAATGGAGCTATATCCATGTTCTCCATCGTAATCCTCCTTTTGAAGATCCAACTAAACAATTTGCTTTACAGTTGCCGGATTGACGTCGGACTTAATAAACCTTTAGTGTTGACCACCACAACTTCCTCACAACCGCAAATCCACTAACAGAGTGACCCACATCTTCTCCTGAAAGTTTGAAAATGTAGTATACCAACTGTTCTATTCTAATTATATGATTCTGCTTTTATATAAATTACATACAGTTTCTGGAGTTCTTTTACCTCTAGATCTTGTAAATTCCTCCTGAATCTCGGGTCTCACAAGGTTTTTCATCTTCAAACATGTGCACTTGATTGAATTATCATGCTCCACTTACATGAGATGCTGAAAAATGGTTGGAAAAGGCAACGCTCAAGCTGGCATCCATCTGTGCTTCCAGGAATGATCTCTACCTCTTTTCACTAATTTGAAGTTACTGTTGCCATTGAACTCTTCTGACCCCTACCATACTTTCTGGAATCACAACTCTCCATAAAGTTTATACCCTGTTGTTAACTTGTTATATCTCCAAGCACTATACCCTAAGAGTCTTTGTTGAATATCCATTAAAACTCCTACTCATTCATATGTATTCCCAAATGATTATCGTAATACAAAGTTACACGTATACACCATGTATTGATATCAATTTTCACTGCAAGGATCCTATGTTGCTCAGTTCCTTCAAAAAGCTTGTTTCACTTGTGTCGATCCAACACGATTTGGTTGTGGTGTGGCGTGTGTGAGATCTGCACCGGATTTGGTAACCTAACTTGGGTGCTTCAACTACACCTATGGTGAATAAGTATAAGTTGATTGGTTATTCAGTTTGAGCTTTGATTTATATACACACATAAAGTACTAAAATACTTTGTGATTACCCGAGATAACTTGTGAAAAAATATCAAGTGTTCACAAAAAATTTATTTATTGCATTTAGCACTGCAATTAATTGTCGAAAAGTACACTTATATATGTTGTAACATACATTTATAGTCGTATCCAGCACTCATACCTGTATTCCAATCCATACCCTTGAATCCTAAATTTATGTGATGAAGAATCCAAACTCTAGATCCACAACTGTACCAGATATCAACACCGGTATCCAAGCAACATAGGATCTACTGACACAACCTCTCTCACATTGAACAAGCTATTGAGATTTCAAATAATAAACGGGGAATAATGGCAACTTTATCACGAGAGGTGTGGTTATATTCTATACAATGCCCTAAATATTGCCCAATCATTGTAACGCCCAAAATGAGCGAATATGATATTCCCCAGTTCTTCCAAAAGAAACACTAAACATGTCACTCTTGGCGACGTATTAATGTGTGCAATTTATCTTTGCTGTCTTTTCGTAAGCAAGACGAATCCAAAAGGAAAGAAAGAGGTTAACTTTCCAGCTACACACACAGCTTACTCTATAACAAAGTATGCCAACTCAAATAAGACTCCTTTATCATTTGGCAAGACGAGAAACAGACTATTGCTTTGATTCTCATCTCTTGTCGTACTATTTACTAAAGTACAAGACATAAAATTCCATTGAGATCCCACATCAGAAGTTCTTGTATTTTGTACTAAAGGTCACCAAGCATAACACTAGAGATCAAAAACAACTGTACAGAAAAAAGAGATGACAATATAAAGCAAAACCTTACCCATCATGGGATGCAGAAAGAATTCCTAGACCAGGCACCGCGGCAAGGCCCCGAACAGTGTCTGAAAGATGCAACATTTCATAAGCGCATATCACAAGCACAGCATGAAATTTTTGAAAAGGACAAGACGGGCAAACAAGAATAAGGAGTTGCATGGAGTACACCGCAAATAAAGAAAGCAATCGGAACAAGTAAACATGCTTTTACACAGAGAAAGATATGTATAATAAGATAGAACGATAATGACCTAATAGAGATAGAATGATTAAACTCTCACGGGAACAGCCTAAATGTCAAATGCTACTTCTGGAAATCACAACTTTTTTAATCATGAAAGTCATCACACCACACCACCCATATTTATATGTGTTTCCTTTTAACAAATGCTTTCTTAACATCCATACTTAAAGAGAGACATTAACAGAACTTGAATAGATGGAGAGGGAATGTAGCACATGTGGTTTAAGAAGAGATGACAAAGACAAACAAATACATAAATGTCACAAAATATCCCAAAGTCACATTCATATGAATAAAGCATGCACCGAACCTGTATGCCCAGAAAAAGTGTGTATACATGCTGCTCCCTTCCAAAGCTTCAGTGTTGTGTCACTTGAGCCTAGTATCAATGTAATCAACATTATTCAGGCAACGCTATTCGATATAAAACCTAGTTTTTATAGTATCAACCTACATATTATCTTGATGACGCTAAAAAGGAGAAGTTTCAATAGAAATGCAAATAACTTGATATTTGGATGAACTGATAATGCAACGAAGTTTTAAGATCTTCAAAATTCGAAAGAGTGTCGAGATGAACAGAAAAATTAGAAATGCCTAAAAATGTAAAACTTCACTTGATACCTGTAACAAGCTCGCCTGAGGGAAATTTAATAATTGCTTGGATTGCTGCTTTATGAGCTTCCAAAACTTCAACCTCTTGGCCCTTCCTCCATCGTCTTAATGTACTGAGATAAGGAACATGAAAGCTTCAGACAAAAAAGTCCATTGACACATTGATAAAATTATATGCATGCCTCCCACAACATTAACCAGCTGGAAATTTTGGCACAAATGACAAGTAAGCAAACCATTTAACAAGGGGAACACCATGAAGGCATGCACCCAGTGAGGTATTTGAGAAGGGGAATACTAGACAGGCATGCATAACCACTAATTTGAACAACTAACGGCCATCGACCTTAACACATTGCAAGAAGGATGCTATCAGGACAAGACCTTGGCTGTACATTGCAAAGATCGGAAATACCCAAGGCACTCCAACAAACATGAACAGAAAAATCTGTCAACCCTACTTAGATTCCTTACCCAAAAAATATCCTACTTACAAATGCTAGTCATCCACTGTTAAAAGATACAGTTTGCAATTGTCAAAACCTCATGGTTCCTAAAAGAGAATCATTTTTTCTAAGTAGTTCCTAAAAAAGAGTCTTTGACCACACTCAACAATCAATATTTTTGAATAACCAAATGCGGTAATATAGGCAGAGCATTGAATCACTCATAAACTAACAAAAGTTCGAATTCTGTCTAAACCCACTCTATCTCCACTTTTTTCTGTAATCATGGTGTCTAGACCACCTTACGCGCACCTCGACTAATTCCACGGATACTTACTACCGCTCACTAGCACATGTACCTAGTAACTCCATCCACCAAGACTTGATCAACGGGGAGAAATCACCTAGTGCTTTTTTGTCTCTGATGAGCTCACTTTATCTCCCCTTTAAGATCTATTTCTGTACGTGCCGTAAAACTCAACTGTTGACTTAATGCCCATTGTCATTTGCGTACATTCTACCCTCCCCGGACCCCACTTTGTGGGATTTCACAGGGAATGTTGTTGTAGTTGTTGTTGCTGCCCATTGTCACTCAAATGAGAAACCTAGTATACACTGAGAGAGTACTATAATCGCTGATTCAATACAAGAAAAATGACAAGCAAATTCTCTTTTTTCAATTGTACAACTAGAAAAACAAAGGTCAATAGATTAGATTAGTAAGTGTGAGGAACTGTGCTATGAATAAATAGCATATTCAGTACGAAGAAATTTCACATACCAATCAACAGATGTTGATACAACGTCTGAGCCATCCAAAGCAATACCTGTAACTTGCAACTTATGACCCTTAAGTGTCTGAATTTTCTCTCCAGTAGACAAATTCCACACCAAGATAAGAGTGTCCATGCCACCAGATACAAGTCCTCCCTCAGGTAACTCCTCACTGGGAGCAACCCAAGCCAGTGGGCCAACAAAACTTGTATGCCCTAGCAGTATCTTTGACGTAGTAAACTTGCGGTGATTAGATTCATCTGGAGACCAAAACCGAATGGTTCTGTCTCTAGATGAGGTTGCAAAACCAACCTTGTCACAGATACATATACCCCGGACCTAGTTTTGACAAACAAAAATAATAAGAATTTGAAAGCTGATTCAGAAAAATTATCCACATTCCAAAGACAACACTTTCAATCATCACGGAAGATTTGTTAGTAGTGGTATTAACATTCAAGAATCCAATCAATTGTGCAACCAATAACTGAACTCTTAGGAACAATAAGTTAACCGGACTGAAATTCACATGTAAAGCCAAGAATTATTTATCAGAAGTTAGCTCATATCATTCATGTATCTAGAAAAAATTACTTCCACATTCCAAAGATTCATGTCCCTTGTATGCAAGAACAATTTTCTTGAATGAAAATATATTCTAAGTTAATTTTCTTGAATCACGGAATATATTCAAGAATCCAATCAATTGCGCAACCAATAAGTTCCTGGCGCTGAAATTCACATGTAAAGGCAAGAATTACTAAATAATCGTAATGCAAAAGAAAAGAAAGAATCATACATCGTCTTCGTGACCTGCAAGCTGACACCTTAACTGATACTCGGCAGAATCGATTTCCATAGTAATCTTGACGGAGGAAACTAGGGTTCCGACTAGATTGAGAACGGAATCACTTGCTCTCCAAGACTTACTACTGAGTTCTTTCCACCGTCTTTCCGCCTTCTCCGCAATTTTCCTTTATATTTATTTCTTTATTCTTTTCTTGTGTGAGGATATATAATAGCAAGCTAAACTTTACGGGGTGAGAAAAAGAAAAAGAAAGAAAACAAACTTAAGTAAAATTATTTTCTCTTTTAAGTTTTTTCTTTCGGAATTTTTACGCTATGCAGGTGTTAAATTATTTTAAATTAATGTATTTATTTTATGTAAAAAAATTATTTACGTACAAGTTCAAGAAGAAAAAAAATAGTGGTCTACTCTTTCCATTGAAGTTGCTATGCATTTTCTTCTAATAAAATATGACTTCTTCTAATTGTGTCCGTAAAAATGTTAAGTCCTTATATAAAATGTAAGTATATAAAAGATTTGAAATTATTACCATTAAAATATATATTTTGAGAAATAAGACGTATTGTGTTATTAGCTAGGTAAAAAAATAAAATTGCTTAATATTAGTTAATTGAACTTTAATAATAAGTCGAGTGAAAAATGCATATTATTATCTTAAATTTTATTATTTCAATATTTGACGTAAATTTAATGTTGGTGTGACATTTTAATATTAATAAAAATATATTATGTCACATTATGTATTATGTTATGTCTATTGATAGATATTACATTTGTGTCTCTTTACTCTCATCAATTGTGGATAAAAGTGGTCATTAAATTTTAGTAATTTATATAACCACCAACTCTTCATTTCACTCATTATTTTATCTTTATGTCGTGTAACTTATGTAACATTTGAGCCATTCATTTGACAAATTTACTACCCACTATCTTCTTATTCATTGCAAGGAATAATTCATCACCTATAAATAGTGTGGTCTTCCTGTGTTAGGAATAAGAAGGAAGAGATGTACAAGAAAATATAGAGTGAAAAAGAGAGTAGTATTATATCGTGTATATTGAGTTAGTGTAGTGAAAGAGAAAATTGAGACAAAGAATATTTCAAGTCTTCAACTATATTCATTATACAAAAGAAAGTATTTATATGTTGAAGGAAGATGTTCGTTTGTGGAGCTTTGGACTCTTCAACTAATTCGGAGTTGTTGAGTTATACGACGTAGTTGGGCTGTTGTATCCTGGAGTGGACAAGTCAAGAGTGATACTGTTAAATCGGTATAGATTATGTCACAGTGGACTTGAATCTCCTTAAAGAGAGCGAGATATCTGCGCCTCAGTCTAAGAATTTATTTATTCATTTTTATCATTTTATTTTCAACTATAATATTTTATATTTATGATATATTACACTATTTAATTTAGTACGTACCTCTAATAGACTTGAAGCTTCAATTTATCACTTAAAAAGAACATTAATTTATTAGAGTAGTAAATAATCGATAACTCTTATTAATGAAATTTTGAGAAAAGGAAGAAATGCAAAGAGAAAAATTGGGAAACAAAAGGTTGCAATAAGATAAAATAATAAAAATAAATAAAATCGAATAATAATAAATAATAGTACCAACTGTTACAATATCAGTTTTTTCTTCCAAGTATATTATATTTTGTAATTCCAAAAACAGCCTTCAAACAAAAGCCCTAATTTATATTCGTCTCTTTGTTTCCCTTTCTTCTTCTTCTTCCATCTCTGCCATTGCTGAAGGTTTAGTTATATCCTTTCTCTTTGTTTCTGTTCATCTTTTCTTGTTTGTTTTACTTTTGTTTTGAATCTTTAGATTTAATTTTGTATTTGAATTTAATTTAAATTGAGTGTTGACCCGCATTCTTAGCTGCGCATGCACGTGTCAAAATGCTATCTGTTGTATATTTTAAGAATGACACCATCATCTTCTCCAACTACTCCTAAACCCTAATTCTTGTTCTCCGCAGAAAAATCAAAAACAGCTTTGAAAGATAGATGGATAACAAAGAGGCTTCAGAAAAATCATCTTCCCAGTAAGTCTGAGCCCAAATTAGTTTTAAAAATTACCAGAAAAATCAGTTAATACCGTAATTATATGTGGATGCAGGAAGATGGATAACCAAGAAGCTTCAGAAGCTATTGATGCACTCTCATTGACAGCTTCCTCATCCAATCCTTCCATTTCAGCTTCACAGTAAGTCAATATGCTCTCGGGGTAGTGTAATTTCGATTTGAGATACTTCTTTTTATGTTTAGTTATTGAGTATTGGAATGAAAGTGCATTGAATAGCATGAAAAAGATATAGTGGATCCAGATAGATGTTCCACTTAGTTCGGAATAGATGATTAGTTGTTTGATATTAGTGAAATAGGATTTTTATTTTTTGTTCGTCTATGAAAACCTTCCTTTGGTGTTTTTTAGTCTTGTTCATATGTGATATTGAATTTGTCGCATATTGATGTTTTAGGATGAGTTTGGAGGAAAAGTTCAAGATTGTTAGGAGTATTGGGGAGGAGTGCATACAGGAGGATGAGTTGATGAATCTTTTGGCAAAGAAGCCACAGCCCATTTGCTATGATGGTTTTGAGCCTTCTGGTCGAATGCACATTGCTCAGGTATGTAAACCTCAATTCCACCCACATTTTAACTGCAGCAATGAAGATGATACAAATTTGCCACTTGCCAAGTGTCTGGTTTGTAGAATGTGTGTGGCTTACGTTGTTTCACAATTCTACTTGAATCTGATTGTTTCCCCATTGTCTCCTGATCAGTAATCTACTTCTTTCAGATGCAGGGTTTTTTCACTTGTTAATAACATAAAATAAACGGCATAAAGAAAGAAAGAAACTCATTGGTTGACTTCAAGTGGTTTTCAAATTTGGGGATGGGAAGATTTGTCTTTGTTCTAAGGGGTGATGATTGACGAAAAAGCCTGAATTATTTCATATGAACTGTTTGTATGTCATACAATGAAATCAATCCATAATCAATTATTTAGATTGATAAGCATATACATCAGGTTAATGGAATTATTGGTGTTTCACTAGAACTTACTTTTAATTTCACCTTGCAAAATAAGAGCTTAACTATCATTTGTAAATTATCCAAAAAACATGACAAGTGCAGGAACTACTAAAAGTACTAAAGAAAAAGAAGAACAACTACTATTTCATCAGATGAGATATTCCCATAAAGTTGAAAACTAAGTAATAAAGGTTTTGTGGAATCTTCTAAGATGTTAATGACAACCAACTAATTATTGGACTTTCTGAAAAGGGATGTCAAATATTCAGAACCAAATAAAAAGCACTAGGCAATTAGATCACTGCAAGCTAAGTGATACATTGTTGAATAAATCATCAGGAAAATCTATATTTTATGCCATTCTTTCTTCCTGTTACATTTGTGCAGGTCAACTACTGAAATTAGTGGAGGGGCCCTTGTGCAGTTGTGTTCCTTTTAGCATCTCATGATTGTTTTTTTCTCTCTTTTGCAATTTCTTTGCTAAACAGGGAGTTTTGAAGGCACTAAATGTCAACAAACTGACTTCGGCTGGCTGCAAGGTGAAGATCTGGATTGCAGATTGGTTTGCCCAGCTAAATAACAAGATGGGAGGTGATTTGAAGAAAATTGAGGTTGTTGGTCAATATTTGATTGAGATATGGAAGGCTGTGGGAATGAATCTTGAAGGGGATCAAGTGGAATTTTTGTGGTCTTCAAAAGAGATTAACTCCAGAGCTCATGAGTACTGGCCTCTTGTTATGGACATAGCTCGAAAGAACAAGCTTCCAAGGATTTTAAGGTAAAGCCTAAAGCATTTGAACCTTTCTTATTTCTTCTGAAAAGGAGCAGTCAGTTATTGCTTACATGTTTTTTCTTTATTATAAGGTGCTGCCAAATTATGGGTCGGTCTGAGCAAGATGAGTTGACTGCAGCCCAGATTTTTTACCCGTGCATGCAATGTGCTGATATATTCTTCCTTAAGGTAACCTGTTTTTATAACTAACTATTTGGAAATATTTTCTTTCTTGTTCAGTTAGCTGGATAACTCAAAGGAGAATCTAAGTTGCTCAGTTAGTTGGAAGACAAATGAGGCTTGCTCGAGTGGTTGAGCACCTCCACCATCAACCGATAAGTTGAGGGTTCGATTCATGCTGGAGGATGAGTGGGAGCACTGTTGATCCTCCTGGGGTTGGGGTGGAAAAAAAGAAGAGACTTTTGGAAAAAAGGATAAGTCAAATATAAGCATCTTTTGTGAGACTTTATTAGAAAGAACAGAAGCACCTTCACTGTATTTTTTTAGGCATGCAAGCTACCCCCTCTAGTATCATAATCTACTTCTTGCTTGTCTTGGTAAACCCTGCAATGCTATTATGTTTCTTGTTTGTCTAGGTTTCCAATGAGTAAAATATGCATTGCCAGTTGTTCCTACTTTCTATGCATATAGCTGGCTTGCCTTGAGTTTCTAGTTTGAGTAAGCACATGCTTCTTGATATGGACAGATATGAGAGCTGCGTACTTTTTGTTCATTTGTTGCCTGTGAACAATTTGTGCTTTTGTTCAATTCTATGGTCTGCGTGACAATGGTAATTATTTGTTTAAATTATGATTGTACCAGCTAAATAAGGATATTTGTTGTTTATAGGCTGACATCTGTCAACTAGGCATGGACCAGCGAAAGGTTAATGTACTTGCAAGAGAGTACTGTGATGACATCAAGAGGAAAAACAAGCCTATCATATTGTCCCATCGTATGATAGTCTCTTTTTATTCTAGAATTCAAACTCTTTTTTTTTTTTTTTTTTTTGATTTGCACCGGGTGTCCGAGTCTCTTTGAGCCCCGACTAATCCCGGGGGTGAATTCAAACTCTTTTTTTACTTGACTAACTCTTCTGATATGTTTGTTTCCTTATGATCTTGGCGCGCAGATATGCTCCCTGGTTTGCAGGAAGGTCAAGAGAAGATGTCCAAGAGTGACCCCTCTTCTTCTATTTACATGGAAGATGAAGAGGTATCTTCAGATTTTTCCTCTGGGCTTTCTAGCTATATATATTTGTCACCTGTAACACAGTGCTACAATAGTTTTTAGGTAGAGTGTCAGTGTTCGTAATAGATTTTTCTAGCTGGTGGTTTCATTGCCTCCGAGGTCCTTGTGTACTGACTGTATTTTTTTCCCTGTG